ATTATATGTGTATAGTCGTGTAGATACATCATCAGTATAAAACTATAAACTACCTTAACTAACTTATTTAGTTGGTCTTATATTATTATTTTTAATCAAATTTTAAWTAAAGATAACTATAATTATTATACTTATTTTTTGGAATATTATTCATCCTGGTTTTTGACATAGGTACGCTGTCTATAAATTTCTTCCACAAGTTAGACATGTCCTTATGTTTCAAAAATGACAATTCATTTATAGTTTTATTTTGGTATTTTGAATTTAGTGGCAAAGGTAAAATGTCATATCCTGGAAAAACTATCTGTGGTGGATCAAACTTGTGATCGTTATAATTGGGCAATTCAACTGAAAAGTTAAATTCCAAATTTTTGTAATAAAAATAAATTCCACTAAAAGTGTGTTCGTGTTATGATTGAAAATTATGATAACTCAATATTGTGTGTGTATAGAAGCTTGGAGATGAAGAATGTGTGGTTTTTTAACTTAAACAATATTTTTTATCTTAAGTATATAATTTATACCCAATCCTGGTGGTAATGTATTCCCGGAAAGTTCGTCACTAAGCTTTCCTTGTACATTTTCAATATCACGTCTTCGAAATGTACTTGGAACTGGATTGTATAAGTTTGATTTCACTCCAGCTAGTTTTGTTCTAGGTAGGTTTTCTGCCAATAATGTTGGCTTTAGTTTCTCCGTTTTACTGTGTTGACACCCACCTATCAAAAGGTCTCCAAAGCGTTCCGAAGTACTTTGTTTTTGGTACTTAACTTCGGCTCTCACGTTCTGAAACAAAATTGTTAGTTAATCCTTATGTTTTAAGAATGTAAATGCCAAATGGCATAAGTAATAAAATATGAGATTTACTTCTTGAGMATCAGTCACAGCGTTCATTTTGATGGTGTTAAAATTAATAATTCTTATGTTGTTTAAGAGTATTTTTCTTTATTTCATAAAATATAAAAATACTTAGTTTACACATTGTGTCCTTGGTTACATATCTTATTAATGTAAAATAGAAAAAAATGGGCAGAATGCTTTCAAACGATTGATTGAATTTTTTTTTGGAAACCTGTATATTTCAACGAAAATATAATTATGGTGTATTCAAAATTTGTGGACCGGAATAAGTTTAAAAATTATAAGTAGGGCGCTGAGATTTATATAAAAAATAAAAAAATATATTATAAATGATAAAAGTTAAAATATTCAATCAAAAATGTAAAATYATATAGGTGAGTACCTCAACCTGGTGTTACATTTTTTTAAAGTTAAAATTACGAAATTACGAAAACAATTTTGATCTTAACTCTGACTTATATATCTAGGCCTTTAAAATGTTAAGAAATTTATTTTCTTTAACTATACCTCTACACTTAAATATTTCGACGAGTAATTAAAGTATAATTTACTACTAAACCACCAATTTGTATAATGTAAATTGACTAAATAGTAAATTAATAAATAWATTACTTTATAATATTAGAAACGTATGAAATACGTAATATAAAAGCGTAAATTTTACGAATTATGTACAAATATGTTATTTATGACGAAATATATAAAATAATATATATTTATCTTA